GCTTACACACGCCCATGATGGAGGATTAGATCGTACCGTGAGATGGCATCTTTTTAGGTTTCTGTGCCTAATGGTTTATCTCTGCATAAATTGATTGTTAACTTTATGTAACTCCCATTATAATTAAGTCTTGGATTTAAGATGTTTGAGACTTTCTTTGAGGTATTCTGATTTGTGCCGCTCAATAAGCTATAAAGTGTGATTGTTTATTATTACATAAGCCTTATTGAGTGACAGGTAGAAAAAATACACGTCGAACCAATCTAATCTTTGTTAATCTTTGCACCTGGATCTGCCGGCTTTTATGTATGAATGAGGAGGCGTTTTCTCATGTTTACTTGAAACCGCGATAATGTAGTTGTCAACATTTGGAGAGAATCAGTGTTTCGATACGGATATTCGCATGTTATCGAGATATTGTGAGTACCTATGGCAATTCGGCGAGAAAATGATAAGTATGCAACATTGGCTAGATTACCTACATCTAGACTAGACTAGTGTAGTCTAAACATAATTTTTGCGCAGACAAAAATTTTTGCGGCAAAAAGTGTTTTGTGACCAGTGTGATGGATAGATAAATGATTTACTTGAAACATTCACGATAGACATTTTTTCATTATGTTTCATTTTATCTGTCAATGATAGCCTAGTCTATATCTTTCATCCTCTTGAAAGGGACTAATGTGAGAGAAACTATTCTTTGGTATTTTCTAGTTTCATCCTCGTTCATCGCTGGAATTGGTGTGCATCTGCTTTAGATATTAACAACGCATTCCCTGCGCAAAAATTCTGGAATAACTCGTTTCGACCTTGAACAAAGACCTCTCATAACAATTGCACGCATAAAAAAAAAACTTTTCAAGAAATATGTTAACAAACGCCATCAGTATATCCGGTTCTTATGTTTACATATTCTGCGCACGTACGGCAACTTTATGAGAGTTAAAATGAAGAAGAATGAAGCTTTGTTTATGGATTTATTGTTCTTTTGCGGAAATGGGTAGACTTTAAATGGTAATTTTTTTTTTGGAAGGATTTTGTGTATGTTTGAATATTGTAGGGAGTTTTTAATTATTCAGTGTCTGCAAGTCTCTCATGGTTTTCGGGGCAAAAACCTCATCTACTCTTATCCTGTCAATAACATTTATTCTATTTTCTTCTACCTCTTTCCTATTAACAATTATTTTCGAAACCGTCCTAAGACTACATAAACCACCAAAGCACCATAACCTTAGCAACAGCCTTCTCCACATGCTAACCAATAACGTAAACAACATCTATCATTTAATATTAGTTAACCAAACAGAATTAATAACAGTCAAGTCGCGCAGCAAAAACAAACATCGAAAATTATTTATCGAAAACACTTGCCGACCGACTGCCTTCTTACTAATTAGAATGAGAGGGAGAGAGGGGAAGGGACCTTGGTGTAGTAGGAGTGCAAACGATATAGAATAGACTAAATACCTATAATGCAAAATTTCTAAACAAGTGGTTTGTTTATGATAATTTTAGCCACAATTCGTCGTGATGTGCAAAAATTGTCACAATTAGTGCAGAAGAAGGGTTTTTAGTTAAGGAACTTCATTTTTAATCCTTTTGATTGCCGTTATGTGGCAACCAATAAGCAGCAATACCTTTTATAGTTTAGTTTTTTTGAAAATTATTATCTTCCTGGAGTAGATTTTTGTGATCTCTTATCAGAGAGACATATTATACATGATTCTCTGTTTAGGAGAAGTGCAAAGATTCAATATCAAACAATAATCAAAGCATTCTGTAATTTACTGAATGTGGCGCCACGATACTATTATTAGGTATTGTCCTGTAGTGGTATTTTGGAGGCTGATGAATAATGAAGCACTAGGTACCTACCATATTTTTGGTACTCTCAAGAGACCACTCAATTCAGCTTACTGAGTCTGGGGATACTGAAATTGGATTCCGATTCCATGGGTCAGTTATACTTTATTGAGAAAGCATCTGATCACTCTACTATAATAATTAAAAGTCTTTTCCTAGTTTCCTTGTGTGGAATTTGGCATGTGTCGATTTGCTGGTGTCTAAGCATGGATCTAGTTTTATGATGTTTTTTTTTTTTTTAGGTTTGAGCATCGAAGTAATTGATGGATGAATTTTTCCGATTTAGTTGTATAAAATCCAGAATTTATTGGGTAATTCTGATGAATGGTTTCTATAAGAGATGATTTGAAGCTTCCCATGATATCAGGATTTTGTGAAAAGTGCCAAAAGTGGCTTTTGTCGGTTGAAATTCAAATTGGATTCCGATTTTTCAGATTCCCCCTGCTGCTTTTCATTTTATGTGTTCTAATTAGGAAAATGTAAAAATCACAATTTTAAAAATCGGAGGCTCACATTAAGGGGGGTACAGACATGCGGTATTCGGCGAGTCTCGAATCACAAATATTTGCTATTCGGCAAGTAACGATTAGTGTGTATGGGTTGCTCGGGGAAATATTCGCTATATTATGCCCGAGCAACCCATACACACCAATCGCTACTTGCCAAATAGCAAATATTTGTGATTCGAAACTCGCCGAATACCGCATGTCTGTGCCCGCCTTTACACATATACCATTTCAACAATCAGATAACCAAGCTAGGGTCAAGTGAAATTAGACAAACAAAAAACACCATTTTGTAAATAGAAATTGGGAATTAGATTGACATTGTTATGTATTACTCATCAATCTATCAATAATTTTTTTGCAAACCTAGTTTGAAGTTTGAAAAAAATACGAATGACCTTAAAGATTTTGAGGTCACTGTCAACGCAAATCTCTTTTTCAAGATTTTCCTGTTAAATGTGATAGATCTTCGATTTTATCAAATTGTTGAAACTTCGAGATAAGCCACATAAAACACGAATAATTCACCAAAATAATGTATCATCCAGCATTCGTTTGCCAAGGGAGTGGCATTCAATAACTTTTTTTAAAACAAAGACTTTGAAGTTTATCTTCGGGAAAACACAAGTGTTGAACCGAAGTTCCGAAATGTGTTTGGAGCTTCGGCAGATTTATATAGCCACCCATTCTAGAAAAAGAAAGTAGATGAATATTATACTGACTATTTTTATACCCCAACTGTTATTTGTCTTTGAAAATTTGTTACTAAACGTAGGTGTATTTTTAATTTGACAGACTGGTTAATCGAAACTGAATGATAGCTTAACGTGCCTTTTCTCTGGAGATTTTGTATTTCATTCGGTTTACATACGATAGGGAGGAAATATTCCGCTGGAGTATAAAAAATTCCATATACTTACATATGTAACTATTATATGAAAATATAACGGGTGTTCAAAAATTGCTATGGCTCATGTCTTTGCTAACATTGCAAAAATTATTACATCAGGTCAGGTGATAGCCCTTAGAGAGTTAAGGGGCATGCCACATTCGAAAATCAGTCTAAAAATCCCCAGATGCCACTGAGATAACACTTGTTGAGTAAATTCTTGTTCGCCCATATTATCACGATTTCCAATGTTTTTTGTCTATTCCACATTATTTTTATTAAAAACTATCTAATGAATTCAAGAAATAAGATGGAGCACTAACATTTTATAACGATAGAAACACCATTTTAAAGAAACACGAATGATAAAACTGTAACTAATTACTGATAATATGCCCCTGTACTAAAATTTATATCAGAGTAAGTTCGACCCTTATCTCTCCCTTGACGGTATATTTTTTATTTCCACGTTTTGCACCCCTCGGGGTGCCCGAAACAAACGCACACATACCGCTGTTCTAGAAAAGGGACGCAACAGCGGAACATAACCAGCGCGTAATCTCGTAGAGAGATCCCTAAAGCCCTCTCGGAACGGTAACATTCCGGGCTCCGAGGTTGAAATTTAATGAAATAAACAGAGACGGGCGTAGCGGCGTGCCGACACACAGGAGACAAGGACGACGCAAGGTCGCGGATGCGGCAACGTTGTAGAAAGGAAAGAGGAGCAAGAGTAGTAATTTGCGAGAGAGACGGCTAGCGTGTCATTACGGGCTGCCTAAAAAAAGAAAAGCGGCGATACTCGTGACTAGCACTTAAACAAAGAGGTACGCTGCGCTATGCCGGCGGAACGAAGATGGGGAGAGAGAGAACTGAAAAAGCCGACTGTATACGTGATGTATTTATTGCGATCGTCGCTTGTTATTTCGTGCAGCAGCAACGCCGGCAATTGTTTATTTCGTTCGTGGCTTCGACCTGATGATATGTATCGGGAGAGAATCGGGCATACCGATGATATATGGTCTGGCCAATGTTTGTTAGACCCTTGTGATAACGGGTGGTCCTTCTTCGGTTCGGCATTTACTTTTAAATGTCTTTATGATGATGATGGTTCCTCGGAACTGGCTTATCTAACTTTCAACTGGTTCTTAATGGGTTTGAGTTGTTGTTTTTGGTTGACAACATTATTATATAAACTCGGAATTTTGAAGAAAAAAATTAATTGTAGTTACTTAGAATCAAATGATAAGTACTCCAAAAAAAACCTTTTCATAAAAATTCTTTTGAAAGCAATAGTTACACGTTTTGGACATTTAAATGTGTCAATGGCAAGTAATGGCTTTCTATTCAAGGTGACCATTTTCTAAATCCTTTTCAACAAAAGATGGCATTGTGCCGATTTGTTACGGTCTGGTTTCTTTTTAACGTTTGAATTGTCGATGGCTCCAGTTCTGTGACACATCTGGGATTTTCAAAATGTTTTGTTGTTTTCTGGACTTCCTTCTTTACAAGTTCACAATAACTATAAATTACATAATACTAGGCGTCTAAGTAATTAGCATGCAACTATACAAACGTAAACTTAAAATGCTAATAACAATAATAATTGCATAGTTGATAACCACAATAATTAGTTAACATAAACAATATAATTGTTAAAAACAATCGAGCAAACGGCAAGCACGTTATAATTAAAATGCGAAAACAAAAACAAGTGCATTGACATAAAAAAAAAATCACATTACCTCCAAGTTGCGCATTCAACTGTCTCAGACACTCGCTATATCACGACGCAAGATAGCATGACGTTAAAAAATCGTAGCGGCAACGTCTAGTGGCGCGAGATCCGACAACGCTGTATCGCCTACATACACAGATTAATGTTAAAATATTTTCGGGATTCACCTTCGGATTTCACTAGGTTAGAATCGTCGGATTTCCACGAAATTTTCACTGTGGCTCTAGGAAACCTCTCTCGGCCCGACACCACCGAAAAAATTACAAAAAATTGATATTTGAAGGAAAAATCGCGAAATCGGCGACAGCGTGTTTACTTTCAAAGCATTACGAACGTACTAGCTGATCTAAAGAACAGAGCTTGGGCTTCGACCCGCCTGGCTAAAACTCCGCCCCTGACCAATCGAAGCGCCAGTTTCGCATTGACGTCACGCGACTAGAGCCGAGTAGGACCGAATAATGCGTTCGGCATAGCAGGGAACTCGCCATACCATTTTGTTGTGTGTGTGTGTGTTTGATTTCGTTTTCAAATTTTATTTTTGATGGATTTTGATGCATCAGCAGCGCCGTTTTGGCAAAACTCACTCATGAACTCGTTTCGGCAGCTGTCAGATTGGACTGGGGTGGGGGCTTGAAAGAGCCAAAAGCGGACAGGAGAAATTGATTTTTACGACTGTTGTAAACTATAAAGTCGTTTATAGTGGTGATCGGTGATCGTAAAATATGGTAGGCAGGCGTTTGCTGCATGGGGTAATAATGTTTGTTTTTATTGTAGGGGTATAAAGGTGTGCTCCATTTTCAGCCCACTCTTTTTAGTATGGAGGCAAATAAGGATCGCTTGCTTATTCTCATTGAAATTGTTCTCGATATTGTTTTTATGTATTTTTTTTTTTTTAAATCTGGACACTATGCGCGAGTGCTTAGTAACGAAATTGAAATTGGTTTGTAGGTATTCACTTCTAATTATTCTGTTTCTGAAATTTAGGCTTTCGTAGGAATAGATTTGAGTTGAGGTTTACATGTTTCAAACAGCGTTCACTCAAAATAGTTGAGAGGTTATGGTGGGCTTATAGACAGATGATCACGTATTTTCTGTATTTTCGATGTCAACTGTTAACGCGATCCACATGTTGCCTTTGGCTCTTTTGTTTTGTTTCGTCAAATTCTCAATGGCTGACCCATTTTCACATAAGATAAGACATTAAAGTTTACCAACATTCTTTTATGTTATTTCGTTGATTGGTTATTTTGTGTAAACATCAGGGATTTCCAGAGGGTCAACTTTTTATCTTATGTTATGGTATGTTATTTTATGGGATAAACCCACCATTACTGAGTAGGTACCTACTTAATTGAATTGCAATAGTTTGTTGATATGCCTAATGTGGTGGACATTTTTTGATTTTTGCCATTCTACTTATAGCCTTAGGTATTCCAAAAATGCCCGCACGTCCGAGCACGAGCATTCTGAAAGTATTGGGTATGGAATAGGTAACCTAATTTGTTTGGTGCGGATATTTTTTCGATCCAGCAAACGTTGAAGGGTGTTCGTTATGATGTAAATACTTATACGTAAGTAGGTACTATTGTCCTACTAAGCAGACATTAGTCGAATATCGGCTTACATTCCATCTTAAGAGATGATATTATTTTGTTTGTTTGTAATTCGAGCAACTGATTTGGAACACAAAAATCATGATTTTTTCGCACCTACTCTTAGGTAAAAACAGAGCCAATTTTTTTTTTTGTCAATTTCTCAATTTTTAGTAGCCGTTTGATATCTAGCCTACTTATACTTTATGGAAGCGTCCTAAGCAACGATGGGAGGAAAATCTTTCTAAATAACTAGAGGCGTTAAACAGGGCTGTGTTATTGCGCACTCGCTTCTTTCTCTATCTATAAGATCCAAACTTCACCTTGTCGAGGGTCACCTGCTGTCATCAGGAGTGGAAATCCTGTACATACTTGATAGCAGCCTGAACAGATTACGATCCAAGACGAAAGTAGGTATCGATAATTGAAATATGCGGATGATAACATCGTGATGACTCATATAGAGGAAGATCTTCAGGCAATTATCAATGCAGGAGAATCGGCCTAGAGGTGAACTTTAACAAGACGGAGATTCTGCACTAACCCGCACCAGATACTAATCCTCAAGCCCCAAATATAACTAACTATAAGTGAATATGACCATTCTTTGCAGAATTTATAGAACACTACACTTGGTAGTCATTTGTCAGCGAATGCAATCATTGTTGGATTTCAGCGTCAATACCATGATGCTGAAATCCAACATGGCTTGAAGTGTGATAGCTCGGTGCTCCAGAGAGAGTCTTCAACAATCCCGACATCAGCTCTAAAACCAAACTTCGCGTCTACGATGCAGTTGTAATACAACTCACATATGATTGCGAAACATGGACCCACCTACAGAAGACATAAAAAGCCTAGGAAAATACCACCAGCGATGGATAATGAGGATCCTACAGATTAAATGGCAAGACCGACAAAAGAACATTAGTAGGCTAAAACCAATACCCATAGAAAAGCCCTCATCATTAAGCACCAACTTCGCTGATGGACAGGTCATCTTAGCCGTATGCCCGAAACACGTCTCCCACGACAGATTCTCTATAGTCAAAGGAAAATATGGCAAAGTGCCGCATCGAGAAGCCAGTGGTAGCAGTTTCCTGATGAATGGTTTTCATGAATTGTTCCAGTACTAGTTTTTCAACACATGAAAAAATAAGCATGTTTATCGTTTCTGATATTTTCTATCTACCTTTACGCACTGCTCGGAAAATTGTCTTTTAAAACTGTAATGGTAACAGAATGTATCCTGTAGGGCTTTAGGGATATGTATTTTTTGTATATTAAGGTATATACCTACCTACACGATACTATTCTTATTGCTTCTTCTCATGGTGAATTGATAACCTTACTTAGGTAGGTATATCTTACAACAACATAGTGCAGCATGTGGTCTCAGTATCAACTACAATAAGACCAAGCAAGGTCATGGTATAGGGAACATGACAATCATCCTGAAATAACTCGATCGTTGTCAGGCAGTCCAGAGTTTTGTATACCTCAGTTCTTTGATCTACAATTCAGGTGGCCAAGACTAACTAAAATATGGCGTGACAATCATATCCCGAAAGTCACCAAAATGTCGCTTGTTCGGTCTTTTATCTTTTCCATATTTTTGTATGACTCTGAGACTTAGACTGTTAGAAAGGCAGATCGCCACTGCATAGATTCAATTGAAATGTGGACTTGGAGGAGCATGCTAAGAGTTCCTGACGTTTTCATATTAAGCGACCTCAGAAATACAAAACGACTATCCTCCATTGTTTCAACGTGTATCCTGGCGTTATTCGGCCATATCCATGAAGTGATAATATGGAGAAACTTCCCAAGTTTCTACCGAAAGATAGTTGAAAAAAAGTATTTTACGCATTTCTGCGGACCTTTATCTACGCCCCTGCAAAATCCACCAATCTTCAGCCTAAATCGGTAATGACAACTCTCAAAAATATATTGGTCTGTTGGCGCCAAACTCCTGTGTAAAGCTTCTCTTGTTATTACATGTGTTAAGAAACTGGTAAGCTACATCGTGATATACTTCCTGCTTAATCTTTTGTATAAAGGTTTTATAAGGTTTTGTATGTTTAGATATCATTATTTTTAATATTTGTAAGGTTAAAAACTATTTTGTTCATGTTTTTTCAAGTATTTTATTGGTGCCGATAATAGGTACGTTAATATAAGATGCTGACCCAATCATCGGCAGCTGTGCCGATAATTGGTTGTTTGTATAAGTTGGTATTAAGATCGATTTTAGCTTTAAATTTTAGCTTATCATAAGGAATGTTTGGTCATTATATGCAATATGAAGCGATGATATTCCGGACCAATTTTCGGCACCCCATATTTCCACTGGATACTAGTCTTTTTGTAACTTGAAAACTGTGCCGATAATACACAGATTCACGTGCCGATAATTAGAAATGTATTTTTATACGGTTGCAATGGAATAGGAAAATCGAATTCAATATTCTGTTGAAGCTATTAGTACAGCTGTTGACGCTGTTCGATCAGGAATGCGGAATGCTATTAAAACTGCTAACAAGTTATATAAGATATCTAGATCGACTCTTCAAGATAAAGTAAAGGGTAGAACACTTTTAGAGAAGAAATGTGGACCAGAAACGGTGCTTACAAAAGATGGAAGGCCTGGCCAGAAATGTTACGAATTATTTTTGAAGGGGCACCCGGAGCAAGAATTTTCCAAAATTTCACGTTTGCTAGAAATACTTTAACAGAAAACCGCATTCGTCAATGGTTCACAGAAGTAGGAACTTTCTTAGTTGTATCACCTTTTCACATTGATGACTAGGTAACTTAATAGAATTTGGGTAACCTGAGTCTATGCCGATAAAAGGATCCTTTAGGTGCCGAAAATTGGAACATGAATTTATTTTAGGATGCCGTTAATAAGGGCATAACATTTTTTATATTTATTGCTTCCGATAAATATTACGCATTAGTTTTGGGTTGAAATAAATAATTCGTATGTAATAGGAGACCTTTTGTTATCAAAATCGATAATCAAAATATTGGATGTTCGGGTATTTTATTTACTAAAATGAAACAAAATTATGCCCTAGGCTATGTAAGGTGCTTAAGGTGCCGATAATAGGAGCGCTTACCTTATTTATATGACAAGACTTATAAAACTGTATTTGTTTGAGATAGATATATATTTTGTAGTTGCTTTATAGCAATATTCACAAACAGATATATATCACTTATAAAAGTATGCATTTCGTTTTATTACGGCTTTATCATAAGATTTTATAGTATTTATGGAGAGTAATTTATAAAACAGTTCATTCTTAGTAATAATTTAGTTCCATTCAATACTCTTATAAAACTATTTTATAATTGTTGTGGAACAAAATTGAACAAGGCACTTAAAAAAGGGTTAAATAACAGAAGTGTCTCACAAAATACAAAATTATTATTAGGGTAACCTTATAAAAATGTTATAGCACTAACCTAAAATTTAGTTTATCTACCTACGCTTCAGAAAAATCTTGACATTTCTAGTTTTAATTCCAGTGATAATTGATATAGCTACCTACCTATTGCTAATTATCAATATGTCAAACATTTCTTGCTGGATAATATTAAGAAGAAGTGGCAATTTCAGGAAAGAGATACAGGCTAATTTCGAAAGATCTGATTTAGTATCATTTAAGCAACATATATCTGTATTAAGGACGTTTAGCTTATAATAACGTAACATAAGATAGAATAGTAATAAGGTGTCCAATTTCTAATTTTCTTATAAA